CCGCTTGCGCACAATGGCATCCTATCCCGGATTGAGATTCTGGGGCTGAAAGTGACAGACCGCAACCCATTTGCCCGCTTCAAAGGGTAGACCAAAGCTCCGCTTGCGCGCAATGGCATCCTATCCCGGATAGAGATTCTGGGGCTGAAAGTGACAGATCGCAACCCATTTGCCCGCTTCAAAGGGTAGAGTTCCTCTCCCATAGGCTTCAGGAAGCCGGGGAAAGGTTGCGAACGAGGAGGTGCGCGCTTCATCTCTGGGTATCCTCAAACGCTCTCCGCTGCACCTCCTGCGCTTCCATAAAGGCGAGATCCTGCGGCTTCCGAAAGATCCTAGCTCTTTCCTGGAGGGGAGAAAGGCGGCGATCTCAGGCACGCGCCAGAGGAGGGAGGGCGCCTTCGGAATGTGTGTGTGGGGAGGGGAGAGTCAAGGTGCCTAGGATCGGATCTTTGACACGCGCGCAGCCCCATCCTTGGCGAGGGTGAGCTGGGAAGCAAAGCCATCGGAAATTCAAAGGGATCCCCAACGAGACTTGAGCTGCTTCTCCCTCTCAGCCTGCCTCCCTCCTTTCCCGGCCCAGCTGTCAAAAGGAGGCATCCAGAGCCAGTGGCCCGGGCCGGTCCCTACCCCGGGGTGCCATCGGGCGAGTGGGACCCGCGGGCTTCCTTGCTCTGAGCCCTCTTCTTTGCCCCCAATCCACCTCCCTTTGGAAACGACGCTCTCTCCCTAGAAGACCGATTTATATAGATATTGGCGATCCACCTTCGCAGGGTGACGTCTGTGCTGCATATTTAAGGGCAGGAGCCAAGCGGCTGCGATTGGCGCCCGGCAGGGTCCGCGTGCGAGGAATGTGGGGGAGTCGCAAGAGGAGGTGGTAGTGGGGGGGAAGAGTGCGGCCGGGACAGACCCTTTCTGGATGGCGGTGGGTGTGCTTATCACCCAGGTAACCGAGGACTGGGCGCCTCCCCTGCCACCTTCCCTGTTCATGAAACCGCGGGTGCTGGAGGCGCTTCAAAGGCACCCTTGTGTCCGGGATACACTCTTCTGGACCAGTAGATTTGCTGTCCCTTCCTTTCCCCCCCCCCGCCAGTGCCCAGGAACGCCCGGTTTTGGCCTTGGGGCGTCCAGGTGGGCTAAAGCACTCGGTCCTGAAACTCGCTAGCTAAGCTGGTTTGGGGCGATCCTTCTCTGTTTCAGCCGAACCGACCTCACGGGGTCGTGGGGAGGAGTTTCTTTCAGAAGGCCGAGAAGCCAAAGAACCCCCACCTTGTCAGCCGCCTTCCAGAATCGGAACTCACGTTGCAACACTCCTGCCACAAAGAGCAGCTGCCAGAGGAGACCGGCTTCAAAGCGTTTCCCCAACGATGGGAAGTCACCCACCTTCCATGCGTAGATCTCTTCACCTGAAATAACCCATCTCTCCTTTACTTCCATGCCCACCACACGTGAGCTATTCTTCCAGTGGCGTTAGGGGCTGGGCCTCCAGGTAGCTGTCTGGAAACGGCCTTAAACCGAGGTGGCAAAAAAAAAAGGGGGGAGATGAGACCTAGAGATTTCATAATCTTGCGCATTGTGTTGTTTGCTCTCGGGTTTGCAGGCTAGAAGATGGTCGCCCTGAGCTGGACTTTGGTAACCCGAGCGTCGCAACCCTACCGCTCGCTCTGTTTCCGAAAATCTCTGCTCGCTATCTCCTCCTGCAAAGGGAAGGGGCACAGGCGCCTCGTGGAACAAGTGGGAACAGGCGATCGCTTCTGGTCTCCTTCTAGCTCTTCCAAACACACCTCGTGACCGGCAGGTACACCGATTTACGCAAAAGACACTAACACCTGCCGACGAAAGGAGGATCATGGACTCAGGATGAATTCCGGGGAAGTATTTGATCGGTTTTGTCATAGTGAACTGCTGGGTAGCTCCTCAGGCAAAACTATATCTATATATAGTTTTGCCTGAGGAGCACATAAAAAGAAAGAAAGATGACAATAGCATTGTGGCACCTTAAAGACTAACTGCTATATTTTAAGGTGAGATTTCGTGGACAAGTCCACTTCTTCAGACTGGATAACTCAGTGATCCATAGGGTCCCTTCCAGCTCTGTAGTTCTAAAACAGTAATTACATAGTAGATATATAGTTATTAACTATATATTATTATATAGAGATATATCTATATAATATATTATATATAATATTATAATTGTCCTTGTTCTTGTGATTAACTAGTCCACAACCCATGGATCGATTTAAACTAGCATGCTTGTGCTATATCGACTGTTTAAGGAAGTCCAAATGTTTGAAGAGAGAAAACAAAGGGTCCGCGAGGTTAGTGCCCATTTGGAGCGAAATCCTGGATTATTCCAAGTGACTCCCTTCCTTCCTTCCTTCCTTCCTTCCTTCCTTCCTTCCTTCCTTCCTTCCTTGACACATGTCATTCCAAAAACTTCAGTCTGTGAGTTTCAGATTTTTTTTGGTGCACCCTCAGTTTATGTGTGTGAGCCAAGATTCGGTTCAAACCTAGTAGCTCGGGGAATTTATTTCTCCACCATCCTGAAAATTTCTCGAAGGCAGGAAAATGTTAAAAAGACAGATCTGCAGCCAACTGATTAGACCACTGCCAAGGAAGGTATCCATAGGATTATACAAATGACAGCGGAAAGCCGCCTTAGAAACAGGCAAGAATCCTACTCTGAAGGAGCTGAGCTCAGAACTACAATCCCTGTGGGTCGCCGAAAACATAACCTGTTTCTCCCTCCGTGATCGGTGCAAGGAAAGGCCCCTGACCAAATGCTGCAGCGGTGAGTTCAGGATGCCAGCCAGCCAGCCAAACAAGGGGGACTTCCTTCAGGATATTCCATTTGATTCCTCCTCTCTTATTGCACTTTAGAGTTTAGGTTCCCCAGCAATCACTTAACAGGGCATCCTGTCCTCATTAATCCATGGCCAGCCTCCATCGGGCTCTTGCTGAGGAAAGGACCCTTTGCCTCATCTTTGAATAAACGTTGGCAAATGATTATCTATCTATCTATCTATCTATCTATCTATCTATCTATCTATCTATCTATCTATCTATCTATCTATCTATCTATCTATCTATCTATCTATCTATCTATCTATCATAAATTCCTTCTTGGCTGATCGCCCTCTGAAAAAACTATACATATATAATACTTTTCATTCCCTTTCTATTAAGTTAAAACGCGCCTCCCTTTTCTTTCTTGGACACCCACCCACCCATCCCCGTTTGCACTGGAGGACGGATTTTTCCAACAAGCCAGAACAACTTTAAATGTCGGCTCGCTTAGCCCAGTTGAGAAAGCCCTTCATTTGATGACAGATTGATTCTCCCGTTAAAGGATTGAGGAGGAGCAACAACAACATCGCCGGAAGGAAGCCGACTTTTCTGTTCCCCGAATCTGCCTCTGTTGCTCTCTGACACCCGATCCCAAAGGCCGCCGAGCTCTGGACCGAGCGGGGCAGCCCCTTCGCTTTCTACCTGGGAGGCAGGGCCAGCATCTCCTTGGGTGCTGCTGCGATGGCCCAAGAGAGGTTTCCTGCACGTCAGGATGGGGGCGCCTCGGCCTGGCTTGAGAAAGGCCTCTCTGCCTTCCCTTTTAGGCCAGGGCTTCCTAGGTCAGAGGGAAAGAGCAACCCGGCCACTGCCTCCTCCGCCCGGTCTCGCTCTCTCTCCCCTCCCCCATCCCTGGGCAGTTCGCCTGCCTTTTCCTAAAGCCAAAGCGAGAGGGTCCCCCATGCCCGCCTTGGCGCACTGCGAAGGCACCGGGGCCCCCCAAATGCGTCTCCAAGTGCGCAAAGGCGCAGTCCACTGAGGTCAATGGCAAACGGCCCGGGCAGGAGAGAGAAGCCAATTGGCAAAGGCCGGCAAGGCTTCTGCTGGCGGAGGGCAGCTGGGCCAGGGCGAAGGCATGCCAGGGGGAGAGAAGCTCACAGCTGGCATCGGGTTCCGCGGGGCTGCTGGGAGGGGGGGGAGGAGGAAGGACATCCAAGGGGCTGGATCTGGGGCCGGAGGTTTTCAAGCTCCTTTGTCCTCGTTTGACCCCTCAGGTCCGTGTCCTTAGAAGACGAGCCCACGGGTGCTTTTCGGTAGCCATTGTTGCAGGAACCTCCATCGATGCTAAACTTGGTGTTCAATCCCAGCCTATTGGGCTCGGTCACCACTGAAACTTTTTTTTTTTTTTGCCTAGGCCCCTTCCTTCGTTCTTCCACACCGGCAACTTGTACCTACTTCCCCCCCCCCGGTGTGGAAGGACATACCGGGCTGTGGACGGGGTGGGGGTGGGGGTGGAGGAAGGTGGTCAGGAGAGGCCTCCGAGATCCATCGGCGGAGATCAAACCCTCCGCGGGAAAGGAGGACGTCGTCCGCTTGGCCCTGGCCCTGCCCTTTGGGGGCCATCGGTCTCCGGCCTGCAAACCCGAAGCGACAGCTCTCTGTCTTCGGCTCCAATTGATCCGGCCGACAGCTGCCCTCATCCCCTTCCTTAAAATCCCTCCGTTCCTCCCCAGACAATGAACGACCTGAATGCAGCTTTTAATCTTGTCCCTCTAATGAGAACGTGTTGGGGGCTGGGGGCAGACACGAGATGGCCGGGGGGTGCGCCGACTTTCCGGTCCCAATCTCCGGGCCGCCTGGCTGGGAAACCGCCTCGCCTGTTGGGACCTTTTCAGAAAGCGGCGGGAGCCTTGGGAGGCCGGCTGGGAAAGGACCCAGACCCGCCCCACTGAACCGGGAGCAGCACCTTTCCCGTCGCAAGCAGTCGCCGAGGCCAGCGAACCGAGCGGGTCCCTGGCCCACGGAGGAGGATCCGGGCAAAGAGGGCTGGATGGCGGGGGGCGACCAGAAAGCAAGCCCCGAACGATTAAACCGTGCCCGGCCGCTCACGAACACATAAAAGTCACACTGAAGGGTAAGGTTTATATTACTGTATTCTCGACCGTCAAATAACTTAATACATGGAACCAAAGGAAACAGGAAAGGGAAGGGGGAAAGGTACATTCTTTACGCGAGTCCCGTCCTGAAATTTGGTTTGTTTTTATAATACATTCGTTCGTGTTTCGATCACGGAAGCTTCAGTGCAGAAGTTGGAATATAAAGAAGGGGCAGAGAATTTAATCCTATTAACACCCATATCGACACACAGCCGTACACACAAAGGGGGCATCGCCTTTCCCTTAAGTTGCGGGAGGGTAGCGTGGGGGCGGAGAAGGGGGAGGTAATAATCTCCTTTTTAAAAAAAAGTCAAGTTGTCCAAACATCCCCAAGGCCGGAGTTTGATCCAGGTAGTGTTCAAGGATACTACAAAAAGCTTCTCCCCCCCTTCCTACCCATTTCCCAACTACAAAAAAGAACATCTGGTATAAAAACCGCGTTGGATTTGTTAAGGCTACTAATATACAGATAATACAGGAGAATACAGAGAGAGGGACACTGGAAACTGGGAAAGTCGGGAGTGATTGGGGAGAAAGCGTTCACAGAAAGGGGGGGTGGCGGCAGTCTTTCGCAAGTCATTTGGAAATGGAAGAGGATAGGGGAAATCATGATACATCATCGCCTGATGATCGCAAAGAATGTATTTACAAACCAACGGTTACATGTACAAATTGGCAATTTGCCTTTGTAAATACACAGTCCCGCTTCTCTACTAATTGTTTACAAGGCATCCCTGTTTCACTGTTCGTTTCCTTTCGTTTCGTTCTCAGCGCATCATCAGAAAAGCAGAGGATTTTTCCGTGTTTCTCTAGGCCAGTCCGTCCTAGAAGATGCGTTCCGTTTCCCGTTCAACCGAGTATCCTAACCGGGGCCCTGGCGGCTCGCAGAGTCGGGCGGTGGCCGCCGCCAGAAACGTCCGGCGTTTAAGAGTGCTGGGACATCTCGCTCACCAGGCTTCGGAGCTGCCTCACCACCGTTTCGATCAGTTTCTGCTTATCGCGGTCGTTCTTCCTGAACTGTGCAAATATGTTGTTCTTTTTATTAACGTCTTTCATTCTGAAACAAAAAGGGGGGGGGAGGCAAAAGAGTTAAAGAACATAATGAGAATAATACGGTTTACTGTTGTTATTATAGGGGCAAGCAATTCAGCGTGAAAAAATTTTTAAGGCCTGGGTACAGGGAGATGCAAAGCAGCTGCCCATTAAGGTTCTGGAAGGGCGCTGGATCTTAGCTACCAGGTAAGAGGCAAAAGCTTTGCATTTATTAGCAAAAGGGTCTAGAAAATAAACTGTAGGCTATAAATAACAGGCTAGGAACTATTAATAACGGATCATTAAAGTTCAGGTTACTGTGGCTCGAGTTTTCCTACGAGCCACTTGAAAAAAATAGAAACGGTGATCATACTTGTCACTCTTGTTTTTCCACTGACAGTGAACGTTTCGGTAAAGAAGCCTGCTATTTCTAAATCACATAGGCTTGAAAGCAGGACCCAAAGAAATCAAAGTAATTTATTTTCAAACCGTATGCATTTCTGGTCAATTAAAATGTGAGTCGTTGGTCAGAAATAAAAGAGAAATATAAATAGTCAGCTGTGTTTCTTCTACGGAGAAGAGCCCCACGCTAGACTCCAAACAACGCTGAAATTCCAAGAGCGAAGAAAAAAGCAATATTCAGAATATTGGCAAGAAAAGATACAAACATACGTACCCCCGGTGGACTCTGCAGAACATTCGTGGGTGGCAAAAAGAAAAAGAAAACGGACAGATTGTTAGAGGCTACACCTGAAGGCATCGCCAGAAGTCATGCAATGGTTACATCAATGGGCCTCTAAGGGAATGATGCCTATTTTATTCCTCTTTGCATCTATCTCCTCTTTACACCGGAACAAATGTGTTTACTTTGCTGATGTGAACGTCCTTATAGCCAGAGCCTCCTAAATCAATCCTACATTATGTTTTTCGGGGAAATAAATCTAAGCCAGTTCAATGGGATTTAGCAATAGGATCGTAGAGGGGCACGCAGAGAAGTAAACCTCATTGATTTCAGCGGGGCCTATTCCCAGAGATTAAAAAAAAAGAGTACTGTACACCTCTATCGTTTAAGGCTGGCTGTATAGGACTGGATTATTAATTCCTTTCTATTTTTTTAAAAGGTATCTGGTCTCGGACTTTAGAGGGCCATCGCTTTTCAAAGGAGAGTCTCCAAAACGCAGGCCTTCGTGACCCTATTTGATCAGATGGAAGTTTGAAAACCACGAGTAAGGAGTCTAGCCGAAGCGGTCCAACTCGGTGGGGAAAGAAAAAGAAAACGAGGAGGAGAGAATTCCGCACTAACCTTCGACGTGAAAGAACTATAAAGAAAATAGCAGAAAAATTTGTCGCCTTGGCGTGCTTAGTCTTAAGAATATGAAATCTAAAGATACGGAAAAACAACGCCATAATAAACTGGTCAAAGAAATTTAAATCTGCTTCCGTTTCTAAAAAAAATCGCGCAGATTCCTTCGGGGTTCCCCTGAAAGCCTCTTTCCATGCGTGACGCCCGAATAGAAGGAATGAATCCTCAACCCCCAATTTTAAGGAGGTGGCGATGGAGCCCGCCGAGGCTTTTCGCTCTGGGCAAGGAAGGGGCGAGCAGGGTGTGCAATCTCTCCGAAACCCACGTCCCCTTCGGTCAGGCCGCCCTTCCCTTTCTTTCCTCCGCTAAAAGCAGGGCTGGCGGCGGGGGGGGGGGGGGAGAACCCTCCCGGCGAACAGCCGAGGCAGCCAAGACAGGGGAATTCTTACTTCTCTGGAGGGTTTGTGCGTGGATGTCAGATGGTGAGACTCACTTCTCCAAGAGGGCCAGGGCCGTACTCGGATTGACGCGCAGGTACTTGGAGCTCGGTTGCCCGTAGTCGGCCAGGTAAGTCGACCAATCCCACACCATGAAGAGGTCCAGGAGCTGCAGGAAAGGCGAGAGAACCAGGGCAAGGTGTGAGGCGGCCAACCGGCCCAAACCCCCCCTCCCATCCCCAAATTGGCGATCTCGACGCAGCCAGGCTTCGCCCTGTGTTTTTAAACTTCCCTTTCCCCTTAGGAAGTCAGTTCTTGATCTGGGGAATTTGAGAGGAAACACGGGAGCAGGAATGTGTCGGCATTTATGGATTGGGAGGAGAAGGAGGGCCGGCAAAAGAGCAGCGCCGGACGCTGGATTTCAGCGCGCAAAAGCAACGTCCAAGATGTAAGCCTTGCGGGGACCTCCTTCCCGATAGCATTGTTCCGTTTTGTGCGAAGGGCGCGTGTTAACCACCGAACCAGGAACACATCCTGACCCAAACCTCCTCCTCATTTCACGATCCTGAAGATTCGAGCGAACACCCAAGAAAACGGAAACAATTGACATTTCGTGCGCCACTGCCCATCCACCCGCACCATTTCAAGAAGATTCAAACTTTCCGGTAAATTTTATTTTGCTAATACTGTAATAATTTTTTAAAAATCGGATAGATATTTAAAGTCCACATTACTCGGGACACATTCTTTCATGTGGTTCGCTATGAAGAAGGATAGTTATGGGTTCATTCCAAAATCTCAACCCCGACCCCCACCCCACAAAAATATTTGCAGAAAGAAACGGAAGGGCCGGAGGGATAGAAGACAGTAAGACGAGGAACTGCCTTGCACCCCAGCCGCCGACTGCGATTCTGCTCCCCCAGCTCAGCTCAAACTGCATTCAAACCCCAGCCTTTCCGCGGCTTTCCTCTCATCCCCAGCCGGAGCTGCTGTCAAATCTGCGCGTAATCTTTTAAAAGCCCGTGTGACTCTTGCAGGAAAGCGGCGGGCCCCGTCTCCAATTTGAAGCCCTAATCCTCGCTAAGCCAGTTAAAACCCGACTTCCGATCCGCGCTCGCATTGTTTCAAAACTGCCAAGCCTTTAACTCGCTACTTGGGCGCGGATCGGATTCCCTCTCTCCTGGCGGCTGCTTAAGAGCCCGTTGTTTTGACTTCTTTGAAAGCCAAGAAAAGATGGGGAACCGGCGGGGGGTGCGAGGGGGGAGGGAGCAGGCTCAACAGAGTGCTTCTCTCTCACACACATTTATTCATCTATTAATTAACAGGGCTCAATTTGTGATTTCCTGTCTGCCTTAAGTCGACACGGTGACGATGCTTGGATTTTTATTGTTTCTAAAGGCGCTGGGAGAGAGTGCGAGAGAGAGAGAAAGGGATTCCCCCTTCGCCGCCTCCGGGACTTCTTGACACGTTCAGTGAGATTTAAAGAGCTCCGGTCTCGTTACCTCACGCCGAGCGGGCAAGTCAATTTCCCACGGCCCTCCCAAGTGGCCACCCTTTAAACCGAAGAAGCCGGAGAACGCTGGAACGCAGCGCGACGTGACCGACGAAGCCTCGGCTGGGCGCACGGAAGGGAGACAGGCGGTCTTACCCGGTTCTCGGTCCCGAGATGTGGGCTGAAAATCCCGCTCCCGCTTCCGCCACAACAGCAGCTTCCCCTCGGCCCAAGGGGGCTGGGGATCCCCTTCTGAAAGCCACCCTACACGCCAAAGCTCCACCCGGCCCCGGGGCTTCGTGCATGTCCTCCAAAGTAGGGAAGTCAACGAGGAAAGCCGCTAGTGAAAGCCTGGACAGCCAAAGGCGACCCATCGCAGGGGCTGAAGAGAGCTTCCCTACACTCAGAGTTTGCAAAACTAGCCTCATGGACTACAGCTCGCAGGGACTAACAGCCGCTGGGGGATTCTGGGAGTCAAATCCAAGAAGGAACTTTGCCCAGCTCCAGTATGGGGTTTCAGGGCAGGCGAAGGCTGAATACCGCTTTTTCTAAGGCCTGTATCCCAAGAAGCTTGTAGACTTCCTTCAGGTCCTCTCACACAGAAGCCCAGGGTCTGTCACTTATTAAAACAGGCAAAGATGGCCTTTTCACAGACTATTTACAGAAGTAACTCCATTTGTTTCTTAGACCTTTTGGAGTAGCTATTAGAGAGCACAGGAGGGAAAAATCCCAACATAAAGTCTCCTTCTATCGCTGCCATGCATGCATGATTGTTAACAGTGGAAGAGAAGCCAAATGTAGGTTCTCATCCCCTCTGGTTTTTGTACATCACAGACAGGTTGAAAGAAGAATTTGTTTTAAGTGTCACAGGAGAAGACACTTTCCACTCCTACATTTCTTCCATATTTAATTCAAATGAAAAATGTACACTTTTCGAAGCTGCATGCCACTGAAAGAGGGGGCCCATAAGTGAAATAATCCTAAAAATTAAAAAACAATTCCCTTTTTATATATTGAAACACACCATCACCAGGGCCAAGGAAAGCAAGAAAACAATCTGTTCAAACATCACTGTTGGGGGGGGGGGAAATGCCAAACAGGCTGGACAGAGAGAAGTCTTAATCAAATGGATTTAACAGCACCCCAGTCTTGCTTCCCAACCTGCCCTGCATCCCAACCATTAAGAGGGCTGCCAGAAGTGGCAGAGAAAAGAAGGATTCCCCACTCCTTTTTTAACAGAAGGGGATACACACACATGCAAATACATTTAATTAAGGACTAATCTGGACACCTTGCAGTTTGGTGGTAGATAAAGACAATGAAGGAGAATGGATAAACCTGGAAGCTACAACTGGACAGTAACATTACATGCTCTGAAATTCTACTGCAGCATCAAATTTTAGTTTGAGCGCTACATACATGAGATCATTCTGAACTCTCTGATTCTGGTTCCATCCTCATAATTATTAGCATGCACAAATAATCAACTCCAGTTCCACAGATTTCAGGGACCAAACTGGGAGTCTCAATGTTCCCCCTAATTTTCATCCCCATTTTGCGCACTGGGGGCAGGGGTTCTTCCCAAACTGGGAAGTAAACAAGCGTTGACACTGGCTGCTGCTGCACGGCACCAATGGAGCTCTGCGTGTGTGCACCTTAGAGGAAACGGACCCAACCCCAAGTGTTTCCTGCAGAAATCCTTGCACTGGGCAACCCCACTGCAGTTCCTCAGACACAGAGCTTAAGTCCTCTCCCCAAGGGTGGGAACTCTGAGGTTCAAAGGAGCCTCTTTTTAACTAATTATTATTGTATCTATAAGGTGGCTACTCTTCCACTGATTATAGATTGATTTCTACCACACCCTTAAATACAACATACTTCATATGAACAAGAAGTAATAGTTATTTTAATCTACAGGAGGAGGTAGATTAAATTATATTGTAACTAATGCAATCTTACTTTAAGTGGATTGTACCCATTCCTATAAAAAACTGATATATTTCTGTGCATGACCCTAGAGAAGAGCATGTACATGTACAGAATATTCTTTCTATTCAGCAGGGCCATAAAAGTAGCACAAGAACAGTTATTTCTTCAGGAATATGCATTCCTGGGCCTATCTAGATGGGTCTGAAGAGTCAGTCCATCATCCTATATTCACATTAACAGAAATAACTTATTTTGGAATTATTTGTTTAAAATATTTTTTACTCCTTAAAACCCAAGGTGGCTTACATAATTAAAAGACAATCTTTAAAAGCTAGAAACAGTAAGTATACAAATATTAAAAATTAATGGATCAAGGTTTTCTGCTGGTTTGTTTCGAGAAAGCCACAGAAACTGTCCTATAAAGTAAAAGGAAAACACAAGAAAAAATGGACAAAATGACCTGAAGGCACCATAGGACAAGTGGTAATGAAATGCTCTTGACGAAACTGCTGGCGCTGATCAGCAAAATTTCACCTTAACTAAGAAAGTAAGATCAGCTGCAAACATTTTGTTTATGATATATCATCTGATTCAAAAATAAAATCCAGTTATAATTAGTGGCACTTCTCTGAATATATCTGAGAAGTTACTTAAGACAATAACTTCCATCTCTTTCACTAGTACCAATATTTGGCTAATAGAAACAATATGATAAACTTTCAGTCATAAGGTTGGTGCTTCATACTTTTCCAGTACTTTTTTGTGTTGCACTATGTAACTAAGCTACCTGGCAAGTTTCACACACATTTTGATATAAATATAAAATAGATTAAAGCTCTTTGTAAGACTTCATAAAGTAATGGGGGTGCGGACAAGATGTGAATAGCTCTTACCTCAATCAGTCAGGTTTCTTGCAGCCCACCACTAAAAGCTGTAATATAGGTCATTTAGCACCACATCTATTTCATTAGTGTTAACTTTTAGTAGTCACAGACAATATCTATAATCTGCTGTTTTTCGACAGGCCTTTTTCTACACATGTATGAAATTCAAACAGGGTATGCTGCTTAAACTACACACATTGCTTACAGACAACTCATTTAGCCTCTAGTATAAACAGCAGATATAAATCTCTCTATAAGCCTAAAGCAGATGCTAAGCTGCAAAATTATACAGATACGAGTCCAGTAGCTCTATAACCTTTATTTAGACGCATACTCATTTGAAAATCAGTAAAATCAATGTAAAAGTTAACCCAGTATCAACCCTTGCACATTACACAAAGTCAACTTTTCTGTTCTTGACACAGAATAGCTCTTTCTCTTAGGTCTGAAGAAGTGGACTTATTCACATTTTTTAAAAAAGTCTTTAAGGTGTCTTTTTTCACCTTTTATTTTTATTTTGTTTTTACTTGCACAGACGAACATGGCTACCCTTTCTACAACTATTCTTGACATGTCTTTCAAACATTGTGGACCACTCAGAAATATAAAATGTATATATTTTGTAACACAAATTAGTTAATATAATGGATTCCTACATTCTTCAACTTTCAACAAAAATAAATTCTACTACAGATCTTTCCCCACCTATCTCATATCAATGTTGCAGTAGCAAGGCTCAGAATTATTTGTCAGACTTTTAACTAAGCCCTGAAATGTCCTGAGTTCCTTTCATGAGAACTTCAGCATTAGAACAACACCCAGAAAGTGTCAAAGGTATACCATTTGGCAATGAATGCAACTGGC